ATCTTATTATTTTCTCAAGCTCATTATAAGTTAATCAAATTAGTTATATTTTTTTTAATAAAAAACCATCACAAAAAATAAATAATAAACAATTGTGTGTGTGCGCTTTTCAAAAACATATTTTAAAAAAATATTATTTTGAAAAGTATTTTCCTAAAATATGTTTGAACAAGACAATACGTTTAGCAAATGTACTTTTCAAAAATATATTTTAAAATATATTATTTTAGAAATTAATTTTTTAAAAGTATGTTTTAACAAGAAAATATCATCATCCTATAGCAAATCAACATGCACTTTCTAAAACCAACGGGGATGTCTTAAAAAAAATTCACGAACTGATTAGTGGATCAAGACAAAAGAAAAAAAAAATCAATGAGAAGTATTTAGATAGTGATGAAATAGCAATGGAGGAGGGGTGAAGGAAGAACAAGTGAACAAGAAAAATAATTTTTTATACAAATTTATTTAAGAAAATTTTGAAATATAAAAAACAGAGAATATATATATATATATATATATATGAGAAAATATTATATATATATATATATGTGTGTGTGTCATTTTCCAATTTATTTACAAATAAAAGCTAAACCAAGCACGCTTATATAAAAGTCCCTTTAAAAAATAAGTAGCTTATTATTTATAAAAAAAAAAATATGAAAAATAAGTTTTTGAAAAAGTTAACTCAAAGAGATTAAGCGCGTTTTTTTTATTTGTTAATATCTCATTTCGAGTCTTACCGGTTGCTATTTACATTTTTTTTATTTTGTTTTGGAAAAACTTTTGATCTCTAATTTATTTTATTGAAATTCTGAATTCACCTATTAAAATATCATCTTTCACCCAAAACTAAATAGTGCTAATTTTTTTCTCTTGAAAAATCTAATAGTATGCACATCCTACCAATTTCTTTTGCATATAAGCATATTTAAATTATTTATTATCCTAAATTTGTTTTAAGTCCTCATTACTTTGGTGTACAAATAATAAGGACTTAATTGTAATAATTAAAATATTAAATACTAAATATTTTAGTGAAATTAGAAGATAATAAATCGTTCATAAAGCATAATAGATATAAAAAATATATATTTAAGTCTAACAAAAATCATTCAAAATATATGTATCATGTTACATTCACAATTTATTACACACTTGAAAATATGTACCAAAAGAAAACGTTTTAAATGTACTCATTCAAGAGTCACTTGCACAAAAACTTGCACATGCATACGGTTGCTGTAGCAAAAGACCCAAATAAATGGACAATGAATTTCTTTAATTACGACTGACCTCGAGATGTATTCAGCGTCATAATTAATGTACTAATTGTCATTTAAAACATGACTAGATCAGTTGATTCATGATTTTACCAAGAAATTAAATTTACTCATCCAGTTGTTGGTTTGTTACTGTTTGATTACTTTGCTACATAGAAATAATATTGATTTTAATCTGGACATCCCTAATTTTTATTGTGTTATTGACTTGATCAAGTTTATATCTTGGATATGATAGTCTGGTAAGATGAAGAATCTCACCTTCTCATTTTTATAAATGGTTGTTGAATCCTATAAAATGTTTGGTGGGATTATAAGAAGTCAAGTTCTTTGGTGAAAAATTACAGAAATGTGGAGATATAGTAGATGTTAGCAAAAATTTAATTGATATACTCATAGACGAATCCACGTTGTTGTGGAGTGTGGGGGCACTTGCCCCCACTACTATTTGACACATACATAATTTTTTATTTTAAAAAATAATATATTTTTAATAAAAATTATATTCTAATAAAATAAATATATATGTTTAAATTATCATATGTATAAAATATAGATTCAGAGAAAATATTTATTTATTTGATGTCTGTCAAACTTTTAAAGGAAATTAATTCTCTTATATGATAAATAATATTTCTTAATAACGAATCAATTTTTTTTAAAAAGTTTAATTATAATACATACACAAAAATTAATTTTTGATAAAATAAAATTTGTAGTATGCATGTTTACCTTTGATATTTTTTATTTATTGTATACGTTGGTTAAAAAAATCAAAATAAAAAAACTGAAAGATTTATGTTTCATTTAGAATTTTTATTATAAAATATATTTTAAAATAAATTATCATCTAAAAATATATATTAGATACTAAAACATGTTTATATCATAAATAAATTAAACTTGATTTTTATAAAATTTAACATATTTATTTTTATATTTTTAATAATATTAAATTATTATAAAGTATGTCTTTAGGATTGTAGTTCTATCCAAATATTTAAAAAATGTCTATGATAGATAAATAAGTCATACTTAAGATATATATTTTTAAGAAAAGTTATATTCAAACCTACTAAGTTATAATAAAATCTAGTCTAATTTAATTTATTTTTATCTTTAATTGTAATCATAGATATAAAAACTTGTAAAAAAAATAATTATAATATATATTTATGCCTTTAAAAGTTATACATAAAATTTTTAATACTACAAATATATAAATAAATATTACTCCCACTATCTAAAATTTCTGGATCCGTCACTATATATACCGGATCCTATATGGATGTAGGATAATGACAATGACTTTTGTATATTGGTTGGGTTAACCCTTGTCTACCATCTAATACATTTTCTTTTGGCTGACAAGAAAAAAACAAAACAGCGGATTCTTTTTTTTTTTTTCTTGGTTTAAAAAAAAGTGATTTCTACATTATATGAAATGGACCTGAGATCATGGGTAAGTGTTCTAGTTAATATCTCATTATGTAGTAAGACTGTAAGAGCTGTTCTACGTGAACAATTATGGTTGGATAGGGACAAGACATAATTAACATCAGCTGACATCGTATACATATAATTATTTGACTGACAATGATGCTTTGTTGTTATCATATGCATCCAAAGAAATGTGTCATTAATATTTAATTTGGAAACCTCTCTTTCTAATCTTTCTATCTTTTGGCAAGTTGTATGTATACTCCTTCAAAAAGTTAATAAACTACAGTCTACGAGTGTGCCAATGATAATATAAAAAAAAATTTAAAAAGAAGATCATATTATTTGAGTATCCAATATTTTGCTGACAGGCTTCTGTATATTTAGGGATTAAGTTGAAGCTTGAGACCTTACAAAAATGTTGAACAGCATTGAGTCTGAAAAAAGCAATACATCATTAGTTAGGTAGTTTGTAAGTTGGTATACAGAGTAGTTGTTCAACAAGTAGAGTTGCTCAGAATTCAGGTTCGACACCCCATCTAAATTATTCCGCATCCTAGCATCTCTTCGAGGGAAAAAGATTACGACATATTATCGTAAAATTTTGGAAGATCATGCTGATTCTTCTGTTTAATTCTTTTTGCTAAACCTTTCAATCGTTCCCTCCCTCATATTACTATAATATTTTCTTCAACTACAAGGTATAAAAAATGTGGGCTTGAAAAACAGGTTGATCATTATTTGGGAATTGGGATGTTGTGTCATTGACAGAGATATACCACTTTCATTCCATCGATTTAGATTGTGGCGGAATGGTAATAGAACTTTTCCAAACAATAAATTGTAAAAATACAATAATGAAAATATATTACATTTTTGTAAGCTCTCAAGCCTCAACCAAATCCCTTGAAAATATATTATTCTTTATTCTTAAAACTTGATGTTTTAAAGTTACAGTTGATTCTAATTGAGTCAAATAAAGTAGATAAAATTCAGTTTCTTTTTCGATTCACAAAATCCAAATTTAAAACTTTACATGCCACTTAATACACGCGTTAGTATTTGGGAGTTACATTGTATCTTTAAAAATATAAGTTGAAAATTAAAAATAAATAGATAAACTAACGTGATTATACATTAATATTTAGAAAAGTAATTTAAGGCTTTGATGTCTGGAAAAACTCCGTTCGCTCAAAAAATTTTTAAATGAAATCCAAGTATCTTTCATTTTTGTTTTTTGTTTTTTAGGAAGGAGAGAGCAGAATAAAGAAAGGCAGACTATAATAAAGTTGTTGGAGTTTTGTAAAAATCAAAACTTGTTCCCTATTTTTCTTTCGGATTTGTTCACACTATTTTTTTTCCTTTGTACCTAACGTGTGTTACTATCATCATTTTATATATAAACTAATATCTATTGGATCCATAGGCATTACTACTACATTAATTTCAAAACTTGGTTATGTTATTTCATAGTCCAAAAGCAAATGATGCCCAGCAAAGGAGGCTTATGACCATCACTCTGATACCTGTTAATTGAATTAACCTGGACCAGCCTAGTCAATCCGACTGGAAATCTCACTTCTGGGTTGTTGTTGTTGATAATAATAATAATAATAATAATAATAATAATAATAATGGTTATTAATATTTGGGTTAATTTGGCTTACAGCTCCGAAAATAAAGAAACAAATATCACCAGCTAAATGTCTCAATTTTCCCAACAAAAACAGTAAATCCCGATTAATTTTCCAACATTCTTCCTAACAAATGCTTCATAATCAGCTTCTTCATCCAGTAATTTTAAAGGCTAGTATCTAAGCACTCAACTTCAATAATTTAAAAATAAAAATAAAATAAAAAATAAAAAGACATTTCAAGCTTTTGAGAGTAGAGCTGAATCAAGAACAGTGACTAATTGGGCAAATGTCTATGTCACCTCGTCACCATGACCAAGACACGATATCAACAAACAACGTTTCCAAAAGAATAAAGCTCTTTGTCAAAGACTCGTGAATAGTTTTATGTCTGACATCTCATACACAACAGCCCATCTTAAATTTAACATATTTTGATGAATAGAGGCAACAGACTTAGATACCATATTATAAACCAAAATTGTCAGACCAATAAGGCTTAGTGAAAGGCACGATTTTATAGTCAACAAGAATAGAGCTTTAAGCAAAATATGGATTTCATTTCCATGATGTGGATGCAGCATGGTCGTCTAGTTGACCTAAAAAAATATTTAAATGATATTCAAAAGCTTCACTCATGATCAAAATGAACAGGGAAATATTAGGGAGGGGAAGTATTCAATTTAGCCATTATCAAGTCATTGAATCAATTTACTTTTTGATCCCACATTCACAAACAAGTAAACAAAGTTAAACTTAACTCCAGCCACAGCTACACTTTATTGATATAAAATGTTTACACACCTCTTTAAAATGGACGGTCATTACAGGTCTGTGCCAAAGACTATTCAGACCTTTCCATCGACAAAAAACAGAAAGTTGACTGGGCCAATGTCATCCCACGATAGCACAAACCTGGTGACAAGCAAAGACAAGCGATCAAAGATAGTTTTAAACACAATTATGATAGCAGGGCATATACTAACCACTATAATACTATTACTGCACTATAGTTACAAGTTCGAGTAGCAGAATCCAAGCACTGTAAGAATGATTTCTTTTACTTTCTTTCCATACTAAAAGAAAACAATACTAACAAGAATGACGTCACAAGAAAGCAGAAACGCAACCAGTACCCAAAAATAGGTACCCAAAAATAGGAGTTGTTTTCTTTCTAATATGATAGCAGGTGTATTACTACAATTAACGCACTATAGTTTTCTTTCTTCCTTTTGTGTTTAAACCAGTTATTGATCTGGATTACAGAACAGAGCTACCAATCCAAAAACATTATAGTGGGATAGTGGATAGTAGTATGAATACTACACTGAAGATAATAGGGGGGAAAGAGGTGATTTATACCACCAAAAAAAAAAAATCGTTCTTAATAATCTATATACAATAAGAATCGATATAAGGCATACTTAACAAGTTGAACAAGAAAATAAAAAGAGACTAAATCAGAGAAACAGGTGATCTTCTGGGCTGGATGTGACTGAGATGATGATGCCTTGGCTGAACCAAAGAAAATGAACAGAGACAGTAAAAAGAAACACAGGACAGAATTGCTGAAGAATAAAAGAAGTTGCAGCAAGGGCATATTGCAAGTATGAACTATGAAATGAGTCACAAAGAAGGCACGGATTCAACAGAAGTAAAAGAGCTGCCAGAAAACATTGAGCTGCTGGAAAAGCAAGGCTATCACTGGAACAGGCAATGCTGGCCAATGATGGAAGGTGCAGTGCATAAGAACTGAACAACCTAGTACATCATTCTTCGAAGAATGAAAGGCGCTTCAAACCCTATTTTCATTCTTATGGGAGAAAATAATGAAATTTCATAAACCACCTCAAAATGTTGAACAAAAGGAGAGCAAACCAAGAATTCAATTGAATGTTAACCATGGTAGCTGTGACAGACTGACAGCCACAATTCAAGCTGCTATCACTACTCCACAAAAACATGATGCAACATGCCTTATGTCATGGTCAGACTGCATGCAAAGGACCTTCTCATTTAGTGCATAACACCATATATCTCCCATATCTCTTCCAACATGACCATTCAAATCCCCTCCCAAAAAATATACAATTATCCTACTGAATTTCTTGAACTAACCCATCCAAGCTCCCCAAAAGTTGATTTTGGTTGTTCCTCTAGGCCTATTTTGGGAGCCTATACACCTACAATCGAATAGTTGTTGTCCAATGACAAATTTTAGAAATGCTATGCTATCATCTGTCTTTTAGCTCCATCTTCAACAGTATGCAGAAGTTATAAGTTCTGAAGTGCCTAATCCCTTAACATTTTCTCCAATCCACTTGGTCTCTTGGAAGCACATATATCATCCTTCTAATCAGAGCATCAACCACTTCCACATATATATCCATATGTTCCATAATCCATGAGCCAAAAGGAATCCTACTCTCATGACCATAGGCTGCCCAACTTTACTCTTTGGCCATTCTTATTTCTTCCAAGTTATAACAACATATATGTTCCTAATTGAGGCCCATTGCTAACACCTTGTTGAGGTGAAAGGGACAGATCATGAACAACCAAATTTTTGGATCATATTGCTTGAAACTTAATGATATGGCTCCCAATTCACTGAAAATCTCTTTTGCATCACTAACAGAAACAGGGTCAGGAAACACAGGATTGATCATTGCAGAAGTATAAATCTCCTTCAATTGCCCTTCCATGGTTCATGCTTGAAGTCTGTGACCTCATATATCATTAAATGAAGTGTGACCTGCTGGATGGTGCATACTATTAGGCGTTTTAGCCAAGGAAACAGGTATACCTCCTTCTTATGAGAACAATTACTTTTCTTCCATGGTTCTACCTCCTATTCACTTCCTGCTAGACATCCTCCTCATTTCAAACAGATAGCAATATATCCACAGGATCATCAGGATAGAACCACTTGAAAACTGCCTACACAAAGGTCCCCAAATTTACTGGTTGCACCATTTTCACCAAAGCCAACAGTTGAGAGAAACACCTCTCACAGCCCTCACAAGGTGCTCCAATGGCCTCAAAATACTGCTCAATGTTAATCAACCACCAATAAGCCTCCTCTCCACCAACTGTTGTAACTTGTAATAAGCCTAGAAATTCACTACCCACATCTCCCAGATCAGGAGCTCTTGTCTTGACGGATACTGGTTCAGAACATAGAGATTAACTTAAAGGGAATTTAATACAACATCCTCCTCCCTCTCTAAATCAAAGGAACTCAAAGTGAAGAAGAGAAATAATGGGTTAAAATAGAAGTCTCCAGGAAATTAAGAGCCTGATCTCTCCCAACCAAAACTAACTGACCAACTGACTGAACAGACTTACATTCGCTTCCTCTATATTTATATTCTACCTCGTTGCTACAGTTAAAGTGCTAGGTTCTAACCAACTACAAATCTACAATACCTTTAACTAACAAGTTCTGACTAATAGTGGCTAGGCCACTTGTCTCTTTGGGTGATTCTGCCTCTACCGAGCAAGGAATGAAAGCTTGAACCTGAACATAGTACCTACTTCCACATTGTCATAAGCAGAATCAGGTGATCCGGTGATTTAGCAGTACACGGATTCTCATTTAAGACCATGTATTGGTTTTCTAATGGTCACCTGATGAAGCAAGGAAGAAGAGATGAAACAGAAGACGACTTCGTCCCAGCACTAGAAGGAAAAGAGGGGAAGGATGTGCCTTCCTTTGTCGTCTCCTTCATCAACATTAATGCCATTTGAGGCAAGTAGCAAGAAAGCAAAATGAGGAGAAGTTGGATAACAAAGATTTTGCTACATGACAAGTTCATGTAACAGAAATTTCTTCTCCAAATACACCCATCTTCTAACGTATATTCCTAACCACGGTCTGTTGCCAACAAAACATGCTACTTAAGGGTGAACGACTAGCATAAGCACAATCAAATTCTCGATCCGCGTCAAAAAGATTCAACAAAGCTTTACACGTATTGCGAACTACCTAACTAAACCCCTTATTTTATCTGTGCATTTCATAACAAAATATCAAAATCTAAGAAGAAAAAAATAAGTCGAAATTAAGTCAAATAACTCCATAAGACGATAACCGATTAATCCAAGCGTAATCTCGCAAATCGAAACGCAACAAAGTGAAAAATCCCTAATTAACAGGGGGGAAAGGCGACCTGTCAGTTCTCGTAGCCGCCGCCGCGAGCATTGATGTCCTCCTCGACGGTGGAGTTGAGATAAACGGGGGGAAAATCGGAGACGGCGAAGGTCTGCTCCTTGGCGAGTTTCTCGATGTCGGATTTCTTGAGAATGGTGCGGCGGATGGGAGGGCGGTTGCGGCGCTGGTCGCGCGTGAAGTACTTGATGTCGTAGACGGTTTCGGGGAGGGAGGAGGGGATGATGGGCTTCTCCTTGGTGGTGGCCGGGCAGAACACGCGGTACTCCACCGCCAACGGCAATGCCGATTTGTACTCGGGGTCCGCGCACGGGCCTGTGATCTCCCATGGCTTCTTGATGAAGCGCTTCAGGGTCTGCATCACAGAACTCGACGCCGATTTCGCCATTATAGACCAGAGAATTGGGTTTTGGAATGCAATCACAAACTCGATGCTGATTGAGGAAAAATAAAAACTCCAGCTTGATTATGGGTGAAAAAATGGGCCAGTGAATTACAAAATCACCCTTTGTATCTTCATCGCTTAATTCTCAAATATATCAATATTTTTTATTTAATTTAGGTAATTATATGGTATATCTTATGTTTTAGAAATTTATTTTTGTCAAAAATTAATATTCTAATTTTATCCCATTAATTAATAGAGTTCTTTTAAATTTAGGTATTTTTTTTATAAAAAAAATTGTTAATTTTGAGATATAAAAAAAAAAAGGAGTTAATGTCAAAGAAGTTAAACATTATATGCATTTAATATCAGTAATTTGGGTGTTCCAAGTTAACCAACTCAATAGATACGCTTGAAAGTTGAAACAAATAATTCATTAAAACTCAGTTGGACAATTGAAAAAAAAAAACATCTAAGTGCTCTAAACAAGTGGGCATTATGAGCCTAATTAAAAAAAAAAAAGTTCATTTAAAATCTTATAAAAATATGGTTTGAAAAGAATAGAAAAACACTCCACATGTTATATATTTTAAAGAAATTTGAGAAAATAAAGGGAATTTTATTGGGGATTGACGTAACAGATTTTACTTCATATAATTTTTCTTGTTCTTATTCAATAAATGTTTTATTCAATTAATTATTTTCTTTTACTCTTAATGTTTGTTTTGGCTCGATTACTCATTGCACGATCTCGTATATTTAATTGAGGTTGGAAAATCCTTTTGAAACTATGATCTAGAGAATAAAATCAATAACACTTATTGCTAAGAATAAGATAAGTTTTATTAGTCAACATTTTAGACCTCCGATCTTAATATGAATTACTTAACAATCTTCACCAAGGAACTGATATTTTTCTTAAACAACCTATAATTTATCACCAAAAGAATTAGGGTTAAAATATTTGCGTTGGTTGTTGAATTAACTTAATAATTTTTAAAATTGAATAATAATTTCTTTATCTTTATTGCATTCTTCAACTATTTATATCTTTCTCTTTCCCTAATTAGCATT